TAGCTGGTGTCCTCACAGGCATTTTTAACACCTAGCTGGACCAATCCATAGCGCCAACATGCTTTAGGTCTGCCACCATCAATCTGGCCCCAAAGAATCCTCATTTAATGACTACCAGCCTGTCGCACTAACTCCCATCATGATGAAGTTCTTTGAAAAGCTGGTTAAAGAACACATCATCTCCAGTCTCCCCCAAACATTTGACACCCTAAGCACAGGCTCCCCTCTGGGCTGTCCTGAGCAATACTGTAACTATCGGTAAGCAGAGACTGCAGTTGCTTAGGGATGTAATGGTTCCTCTCAAACCCACCTGATACTAGATTGAAAGACTGGACCTTATTTATACCCCAACACATTGAGCTATTTCAACATGACACCAAGAGAAAAGCAGAGAGTGGTACTTTAAATTACTATGTTAATAACTGTATATCATATGTTTCAAACTGCAATAAAGATCTTAAAAAACAATGTATTTGAGTATTTTATTTTCTACAATACGACTTGGAATTATGGGTAATCCAGAGCGTAGATGAAATCCATAACCGTTACATATATGCTAGCAATGATGGATACCAAAGTGAGGTACTTAAGCAGATTCCAGAAAAGAAAAAGCAAAGAAGAGCTGCTGGAAGAACGGAAAAAACTTCCCAAAATAAACACGTTCTTTCAAAGAACCAAGGGTGGAGAGGTGGATGTTGCTGCTGCGAAAGTGAGTAAAGATTGCGACCAGGAGCTCAATGGAGAGAGCGTGGGTGAGGAGGGGGGCTGTGAAGCTCAAGGTAGCCCAATAACATTAATTTTACAGCAGAATATACTAAAGTGTATCCATTTGTAGAGTAGGTGAAGAATGATGAGATGATAAAGTGTGTATGTATGGGGCACATTTCGGGTCGGTTGTCTGCGGCGGCGGGGGGGCGTTGGGGGCGGGTGGGTGTTGGGCGGACGGGGCGATTATGGGGTGTTATACTTCATATGGGGCCCACCCAGATAATGTTGCTTACGGGCCTTTTGTTGTGGTTTTATTGGTCCTGAGCCCCCTGATGTTTATTCTGATGACACACAGCTTCATTCCTATGTTCACCACCAATCACATCACAAAGTTTGCAGACGACACCACGGTGGTGGGCCTCATCAAAGACGACAATAACCAGGACTACAAAGAGGAGGTGGAGCAGCTGGTGGACTGGTGCAGAGATAACAGCCTGGTCCTGAACGTGGAGAAGATGAAGTGATCATCGTCAACTTCGGGAAGAACCGTCCTAACCACGCTCCACTGCTCATCAACAGCTCAGCTGTAGAGGTGGTCAACAGCACCAAATTCTTGGGGGTGCACATCACAGACACCCTCACCTGGAATGTAAACACCACCTCACTGGTCAAAACGGCACAAGAGTGCTTGTACTTCCTGCGGAGGATAAGGAGAGCCCACCTGCCACCACCCAACCTTCTACAGAGGCACCCAGCGCGGCGTGTTCCAAGCCTGCAACATTATCAATGACCCCTCACACCCCTATCGTGGAGTGTTCTCCTTGCTGCCCTCTGGAAAGAGTCTACGTAGCATTCGATGCAGGTCCAGCAGATTCTGCAAAAGTTCTTCTCCACCGCCATCAGACTGCCGAACTGTTGAAAAAACTCTAAATCCTAAATACTGCATATTTGCACCATACACTGTATATTCATGCTCTGAAGGGCATGAATTGCCAGACAACAGAGGCACAATCTCATTGCAGTGAATTAGGTTTGGTTTGTCTGTGCAAGCTCCATGAACTCGGTGCTGCTTTAATAATTAATCAACTTGAAACTGACTTCAATACAGTGGAGAATGAATTGTGTGTTATTTTAAATAAATTTTAGGAAGTTAATTTTTGGGTTATTCGTTATTGGCAATGTAAATTTACAACTCCATTATGGACACTATAAATACCTTTTAAATATGATTATATAGTGGATTTCTAAAAAAAAAAAGATATAAATATATAGCCTATATATAGTAGTTGAATGTCCCCCAAACATATTCTATAATTTCAAAACTACAAATGGCATAAGATCTAAAGTGTTTTCTGTTTCAAAGCCTCCGATAATTTCAGTCCATTGTCAAAAAGATAAAAAAATATAAAAGATAGAAATTGCATTGTAACCTAATTATACATTTATTCCAGTTGCAATAGGCTAAACTGATAAGTAGGTGGATAAATATAATATCCAGAACTGTGCAACTACTTCAAAAATACAAAGACAAAAAGATCAGGATGAAACCCTCACATATTAGTCCTAATAAGGAAAACACTAGTTATAGTGCATTACAAATGTATCCCCTTAAGCCGAGGGTTTTAGTAGCAAATTACGCCTTAAATTATATATGTGAATTAAAACAAGTACAGCTTCCAAACTATAAATTGGAAATACAATTGTTTGTATTTGTGTGACAGAAAGGCATTAAGGAATATTCTTTAGGTGGAACCACTATTTTATATGTCAACATGTCTGATTTGTACATGAATAAACCAAGAAATAAATCATGATAAAGATTAAAGATTTAGCTACGCTAAAATTGTTTCCAAAATAAACACTGCCAAACACCATGAAAGCCCATTTGAAACTCTGGATGAACCCTCAGACTTAATAGATTCATATATTGACAATAACTCAAGCAAGTTTGGACTGAATAAGTTGAAGCATGTTTGCTCCACAAAGATTTTAGTGGGCAGTGTGCTAGGCATGGTACAGTGGTGCCGATAGTGACCAAAATATGCCAAATGCATTTTTTCCACTCAGAAAAGGGAACCTGGTCAGACAAATATGCAGATTTACATCACATTATTTCACATTTTTCATATAATCACTCTTTAAATCAATGTCACCTTCCAGTTGTAAAACTTGCTGTTGAGATCAGTGTTTGGACCTGTTCACTGGTCCACCATCTTTTAAAAAAAAGATCAGCTAAATGCATACCATCTAGTTCCCATAACAAGGGATGAGTGGAAGACTGTGTGTGTGGGATTTTGAGTACTTGGTAAAGGCCTTCTGTCTTACCAAAGTCCCTGCAATCTTCCAGGCCCAAGTGAATTAAAGCTCATGGATTTTCCTACCATTTTTCTCGTGTATTTAGACATTTTGCCCTTTTTTTTAAAGACATTGGAAGAGCACAAGATCCATGTACAGCTCGTTCTCCAGTGTCTTCTTGAAAACAAACTGGTCATAAAAGCAGAAAAATGTGAGTTCCATGTCTCATCAGTAACCTTTGGTACCATGACCACCTCCATGTTGTTGGAGGGGAGAGGAATTGGGGGTTACAGTTTGTGTTGCTGCAGTCTGACCGTTAGAGGTTGCTGAAAATTCACACTGTAGCTTTAATAACACAACATGGATGCAGATCTACAGCAAAATGAACAAAAAGGATGGAATCAATTTGAGAATAATAGACTAAACCTCAGACCTAAAAAAAAATAAAATAATTTACAATGGGATCTTAAGCAAGCTCTTTCCACTGTTAAATCTTGAGGCTGACTAACTGTATGTGCTCTTTCTTCTTTTTATGGCATTAAATCTGACTCAGAACTCATTTGCTTAACTGTTTCTTTCCTGGTCAGAGACACCTATGAATCAGTGCTTCTATGATTCTTTTGGATGTCTGTTTTTGTCTTCTCAAATACCCAATCGGCCTTGGCACAGGGCTCAGACTGAGTATGGTTCGGCTGAAGGTTTCTTTGTGTTAAAAGGGAGTTTTCCTCCCTGCTGTTGCTGCGTACAGGCTCAGTAAATTAGAAAATGGGAATAAGTTAAAACATTTTGAATTTACTATTAATTTAGTTGTGGAACTTCCAATCACTTAAAACATTTTCACTTGCAATTTGTGCATACAGCATTTAAAATAGTCTTTCACAACATTTTTTTCTTTGACAATATATTCATGGTGAAAAGTAAAAAAAACACAGAATAAATATACTCATGTGAAAAAACTTTTAATGATTTTGTTACAGACCCATTACATTTAAAGACCCATTAAAGACCCATTACATCCTTTAATCCATCATAGTTTTTCAGCCAAAAAAGACATGAAAATTATAAAATTGGACATTTGTGTTTGATTTCATTCTTTAGAGTATTCAATTGGAATATATATTTTCACATTTAATTATTTCAACTGTATGTTTGTTTTTGTGAGGCACAATATCGCCTAAATAAATTCCTTAAATGTAGAAAAGGCCTAAAAATAAAGACTTCTGATCATGTAAGAGTATAAAATTTGACAGATTCTGAAATATAAGAGCTTTCCGTCGTAAAATAAAACTGATAACCCTAAAACAGTAGTGTGAAATTTATTTTATACATTGGGCAACTTTGACATCATCAATTTTTAACCAGTTGCAGATTAATAAAGAAAAAAGTTTTGGATTTTCTCAGTTTATTTATGAAGAGAACATTCCTCTGTTATTTCCAGTTTACTCCCATTTGTCCAGGAATTTTAGTCACCTTGTGCATTTTAATAGAAACTAGCTTTTTGGGGGTTTTGAGGGCTGAATAGATTGCTGTGACAGGAAATATTTGGCCAGCAGGCCTTGAAATTGACACGTAAGGTAGAAAGATTTAACATTGCACAAGACATCCACTTCACCATTTGTTTTTTTTTTTATTAAAGCCATCACCAAAGTTGATTATTTCCCCCGAAGAATTTAGGATCAATTTCTGTTGTCTTTCTGAAAGATAGAAACAGAGAATTAGAGTCTGAAACATGAGACTGTTATAATTTTATGTCTGAATGTAATGAGTGACACTTACCTTAGGTATTTCCATGCAGACGTATCCATATTCACTTCCTGCCAATATAAAAAGCTCTATTGGTTAAATATTCAAAATTATATATTCTGGTAACATTCAGGTGGTTTCAGAATTTCGTATTGGATTGTTTTACTAATTTAAAATATTACTTATTAAAGACATGCTAGTTAAAACATTATCATTAGTATTATTTTGGGTACTGTCCTTTTCACTCACTTGTCTCTTGCACCTGCGGCAGGTTTCTTTGGCTTGGAATCTTTTGCACCGTGAGCTGCGCTAGATGCTCGGGGGGCATCTCTTGCACCTTTAGCAGGTACCTTAATTTTGGGTTTTGGATCTCTCGCACCTGATGCGTACTTTGTAGCTGAAATATGTTCACATGAGTACAAGTCAATGAAATTACAAAGACACTAATATGTAATTTTAGTTGCCCATGCAACATCTATGTTATATTAGGCTCTGAGTTTAATATATAGAATTTTTTTGATTGATTAACTCTGACTTTTATGGGTTTTTCCTGAACAAGAAAGGCAGGAGAGAAAGATACTGGAGCTTCTATAATTAAAAAAGCTAACAAATAATGCAAATTGCAATGAAAAACTGCTTTGAGGATACAGAGAATTAATTTGAGCTGGATATTGGAAAAAAAAAAAACCTTACAGTTATACATCTTCGGAGCTCTTGCTTGTTAAATCCCTGTTAATTTGAAAACAAGAAACCCAAGCATTGGAAACATAGTAAAAACAATAAATGTATTAAATTTGGCTAATTGATAATTTTAAAATTCGGTATTAGAATAGGTTAATGAAAGAATAACTAGACTTACTTGTAGGGTTCTGCAAATCCTGATATTGCTCTTCTGATGTGAAGTGATCCCAAACCATCTGAATCCCACCTTAAATAAAGTCATCCCCCGCCTTTCATCGACCACGTGACTTTAAACTCTTCCTTCCTATTTGCCTCTGACATCTACTTTCACCTCCTGATATCTCAGGAGTAGACTTTATATTTCTAAGGACTACCATTATCCCATCATTGAGTAGACAATAAAATCTAAGGCCAGAATCACTCAAAATACATAAAAAAATATTAACTAAATATTATTAAAAGTAAAGCTCATCTAAAAACTCCATTACACCTTTTTAGACCTGGCTCCAACTGTCCTCGTAGTGGCAGGTAAGACTTACTACATGTATTTAACTAACAAGCACCCCACCTTCCTTCCACACACACCCTCTTAGAACCTGTGGAGAAAACAGATTCCCGCCCACCTTAAAACAAAGACACAGTGACACAGGGAGATTATGCAGAAAGACACAACAGCTGAACATTAAGTCTTCTAAGTAAGTTTTTCTCCTTTTTCTGCATTAACATACTTCTGTCAGAGAAATGGCCCAAGGTTAGTCAACACTATTTGTGATTTACCTTTTGAAATGGTATTATAACAAGATGAAAGTGAAGTTAATGTAAGATTTATGTAACTTTGGGGACACAATAGATATTTTTTATTTCATTTATTCATTTTGAATTCAGCTGATTTGATATGACATCCTTATAAATTGAAAGCAAATGATGTTCCTGCCTTAGGTGTTTTATGTGTCAGCAAAGAAAATAATGATGTTGATCTTTCTTTACTGGTGTCTGGAATATTTATCTTATGTGTATGAAAATGTGACTTATTCTGCATTAACAAAGATGAAGCCAAGAAAGTTAATATGGCTTTGGGAATCAATTTCCTATGAGCTAGATGGTTGCCCAATAATTTTTCTTCATAAGCAAACTGTTTTAATTGTTGAATAAGGTTATTGAAAATGATTTAGGTAGTAAAACCATATGCAATGGACAAGGAGCAGAAAGGTAGATGAGAAAGAAAGATAGGGTAAGACCTCAGGGGAGAAAGAGTAGGAGAGAGAGATAGGGGTTAGAGGGAGGGAGGAAGGAGGAGGAGCGCCTGGAAAATGAAAATAAAAGAAAACAGCAAAAATAAACAATACAGACGATATATAGTGGCTCCTAGAAGTCTGCCTCTGCACCTGCATGAGATGATAGGGGAGAAAACAGAACACAACAGCAGCAAAAAGAAGACAACAGACAACCAAAGTAAAACTTAAAAAAACTTCCAGAGCAGCAGATGTCTCTTAAAAATATATGTGTGTGGAAAGGTGATGAAGCAGGTAAAATAAATTATTTTAACAATTGACAAATAAAAAAAACTATATTGGCAAATAAAAATATAGAATACAAACCATCAATTGTTTTAATTGTGAGAAAGAAGTGTTTCCTTTCAGAACCAGGGAACTTAATAGGCTTTTGCAAATTACTATACACAATTATACAAACCACAGTCCAACATTCTAACATAAAATATCAATTCAACCTGGAGATAATCACACAGAGAAAAGCAATTACAAAAAATAAAATGTATTTATACACATAACACAATCATATTCTTCAAACTATTTCTATCTAAGGAAAACCAGTTGATTGCATCGACTCATTGACTCCTCAGCAATCCCTCACACTAAGCATGCTTGTAGCGACAGTGGAGAGGAAAAATTGCCTTTTATCAGAAAGAAACTGCGTGCCGTCCCTGAATCTTTTACTGGTACACAGTACCAGACCGTTCCTGCTTACTTTCAACCCTCAGTTTACATCTAACAAAGTAAAAAGACAATATTTCCTACATTGTTCTCCAAAACTTTATTCTATAGGCTAAATCCTTTTTGAATGGGATACAAAAAAATTTAAATATTGTCAATCTAACAATTATTTTTATTAGCTTTTAGCATAGCCTCACCTAGAAAATGTCCAATCTTCTAACGGGTCTCTGTCGGTAACGTGAGCTTCAGAGATTGGGGGTGTTTGTTTAGTGGACACGTCAGCCAGAGCTGTAGTTGAGTGAATGAGTAAGACTACTACCTGCTTAACAGTGGCTTACAGGATGAAGGATCACGGAAAAAAAAAAATGCTACAGTTTTTTGCATTTACTTATTATATTCAGCTACTTTAACACAATTGTTTCATGTTAGCAGGGTAGGCCCTGTTTTGGCTACAAAAAGTTGCCGAACCAGTGGAGGTTCTAGACAGAATTTAACAGGGGATTCAGGGTGAGACTTAAGTTTATTAATGACCTGTAAATTCTTTATTAGCTATTTTGGAAACTGTTTGGGCCTACGATGTTCTGTAAATATCCATCTAGCTGTTTTCTGTTCCCATATTTGCATATGCTGTGAAGAGAATTCTGTTAAAACTTTAAAATGCTTTTTCCTTTTCGATGTATAGGGAGATTAAATCCTGATAAAAAAGACTGGGGGGCAAACAAATAGGTGCTGTGCTGAAGGGAGACTAATTTGAGGACGTCGGCTAAAAAAGGCAAATAGATTGGAATCAATCTATTTGGAATCAGTCTTCCTGTTATAAATTGCTTCTTAAAAAGGTAAGAGACACCCTATTCTAGAAGAGTCTGCGAAGAGGACCTCTGATTATAGTTTTGGGTATTGCTTATTTGTGATTTGTCAATTTATTTAAAACTTAAATTGAAGAAAACGGGAGAGGTCTGTTTCAGGCGGAGAGATGCATCCAAGGTCCAGACGGATTTACAACAAGCTGCTGGAGGTGACAAAGAAGAATGAGGAGGATAAAAACGAGGGTCAAACCAACAGACTGCGAGTGGAGGTCTTCAAAAAGAGACTGCTGGAACAGATTCTGCAAAGATGAACGAGACACCATCAGAAACCACCTTGTAATAAAAACTGTCTCCATGTGCAAAAAAAAAACGAAAAAAAAAAACAATTCCCTAAAAAATAGATTAAACAGGAGAATACTTAAAAGAGAAAGAGAGAAACTATGCCAGTTTTTGGTTTGAAAGTCTTTACATATTCTGGTTTTTGCAAGGATCTAAAGCTTATTGCTTATTTTTTAGAAACAGATAAATGGTAAGAGATTATATTTCCTGATTGGGGTACTAAAATGATAGTAACAGACACTTTGGGGATCTGTTGTTTTCTTTTTTTTAATAATTATTAATTTTTAGTTTAAAGAGCAAGTCTGTCAGATCCATTTGTCAGTCTGGTATGTCACAGTGAATGTTTTAATGGTGTATGTTTGAGTGTTGTTGGCTTGTTGTTGTTAAAAGTAAATTTTGTGTCAGAATTCTGGGATGGAAGAGTTAAATACGTGTTTCAGCCTGAATAAATGAACTGAGTGTTTCTAATCATAAAAACCAATAAACCAGTACATAATGGAGTAAAACAGAAGGATACCTAACGGTGGCAACGGAATTCTGTTTGCACTAACTGTGTACTGGTAATAAGTTTTGGTGTCCAGGGATTTTCCAATTTAAAATCCCTCAAAGGCCAAATATTTACAATATCTGGCTGGACGAAACGTAGTATGTGACTGAATATAAGAACGGTGTCCATGAGAGTGAAATCATAAAGTCTTAGGACTGTATGAATGACACCAAAAAAAATGGTACAAAACCTTGTACCTTGAATTTTTAGAAAAAGGCATGTTGAGGTTTGAAAGAAACAATGTGGCGAGTACTATTGAATTGCAAGTTCAATTCAATTCAGTTTATTTATATGGCACCAATTACCAACATGTCATCTCAGGAAACTTTACAGTTCACTAGATCATCCAGTCAAATTGATTCAAAGTTTTCTAAGGAAAACCAGTTGATTACATCCACAATGAAATCCATCACACTCAGCATGCTTGTAGCGGCAGTGGAGAGGAAAGCTCCCTTGTAACAGGAAGAAACCTCCAGCAGAACCAGGCTCAGTGTGAGCAGCCATCTACTGAGGCCGACTGGGGTTCAAGGAGACAGAAGCAGACATAGAAAAAGAAGCAGACATAGAAAAGGAAACTGTAAAAGGCGGCCCCGTCCAGGAAACACACAGCCAGGCAGACGAGCTCCGAGCCAGCTCCCATGTCAGAGGATGAAGAGAGCACATCCAGCCAGTCATGGTCAGAGAAACAGGACTACACTGAAAAACAGGCCGATCTCCAACATCTATAAACAAAGGTGTTGATGGCAGCAGCACAGCTGATATTTCTCTCCAGGATGGATTCACAGCCAAACAGGAACAGACCAGATGAAGCTACTATGAGAAAAAGCAGAGAGAGCAGAACGTTAGAGATTGAACAAACAGATTCTGCAGAGTGGGAGAATAGAGATAGACTGAAGCAGAATGATGAAAAAGGGGTCCCTATGTCCTCCAGCAGTCTAAGCCTATAGCAGCATAACTATAGAGATAGCTCAGGATAACCTGAGCCACTCTAACTATAAGCTTTATCAAAAAGGAAAGTTTAAGCCTAGCCTTAAAAGTAGACAGGGTGTCTGCCTCACGGACTAAAACTGGTAGTTGGTTCCACAGGAGAGGAGCCTGATAACTAAAAGATCTGCCTCCCATTCTACTTTTAGAAATTCTAGGAACCACTAGTAAACCTGCAGATTGAGAGCGAAGTGCTCTGTTAGGAACATAAGGAACAATCAGATCTCTGATATCAGATGGAGCTTGGCCATTTAAGGCTTTATATGTGAGAAGGAGGATTTAAAATTCTATTCTGGATTTAACAGGAAGCCAATGAAGAGAAGCCAGGATAGGAGAGATATGATCTCTCTTTTTAATTTTCATCAGAACTCTGGCTGCAGCATTTTGGATCAGCTGAAGGCTTTTAACTACAGTTTGTGGACTTCCTGATAGTAAAGAATTACAATAGTCCAGCCTTGAAGTAACAAATGCATGGACTAGTTTCTCAGCATCACCCCTGGACAGGAGATTTTTAATTTTTGCAATATTTCGCAGACAAAAGAAAGACATTTTAGAAACCTCTTTGATGTGTGATTTAAATGACAGGTCCTGATCAAAAATAACACCAAGATTTTTTACTTTATTATCTGAAATCAGTTTAATC